AAAATATATATATAAATAATATTAAAAGGCGAAAATAAAGATTTACTATTTTGGAATGTTAAATTTCTATTTGGCAAGAAAGAAAAATCGTTTATTTTACTAGTTCTTGAAGAAATCTGGTAGCAACTTGTCCATTCATAAATTTTCCTTTTCGCCATTTACTCATATTTTGCCACAATTCCGGTTCGCTGTTACTACACTCTAAAACATTGCTATGGAGTCTGATTCTGATTATAAGCTTGAAATGGACGACTATTCTTACTTAGAAGAATATTTATGATGAAGATAGCACTTCAGATGTGTCTGATACCGAGAATTGTGTAAATTATCATCATAATAATAGCATCCAAGGTTTGTTTACTTTTTTCATTCATACTCAACTCACGCATACTGTGATACTTCTTAGCACTATTATTAGCCCTAACATTAGTTTTATTCAAGTTCCAGTAGTATAAAATTCTTAAATAGATTAAATTATTTATTTGTTTGAAACTAATTTGTAGTTATACAATTATTTTAATATTATTACGTTTCAGTTAGCAAAATGTAAACAATGGTTCTCAAGGCCAAGGCTATTATTACACTGTAACAATCAGCTGTGTTCCCTTTTCAATGAAAACTTGAAGTAAAAGTAATTTAGGCAGATTGTTTATTATTTTGATTTCTTTTTATTTATATTGTATTTTTTTAATTTTAGCTAAACTATTTTTTTTTTTATATTTTGACAGCATCTATGAAGGGCAGATGTCAAACATAGTCAATACAATGGGTTATGATGACAAAAGACTGTGGGACTCTTTGCTGCATTTAGACCAGAGGTGAAAAGCACTATTGCTTCCTGATGTTATAACAAGAGAGGATATAAGGAGATTTTAAAAGCAAATTGACATTTTCAACCACTTTACTACAGATTTGGTTGGCTATTAGTAAGCCTTGTGCGCAGGACAATGGACTGCAGAACTTTTGTGTTTTCAAAAATTGGTACCATTATAACATCATTGAAGGGGAATGTTAGCTACTAAGTGGATTTATTATGAATGCAGGACTTATCAAGCTCTTAATTTTACAAGAAATGTCCAGGAAATCCTTTTATGATGGACAATGAGCAAGGCCATTAGTACTAAGGACATATTCAAGGCTATATTGAGTTTCCTAAAAGTTTCTGATACTGAAAATAAAGGAAACATGCTGTGCAAAATTGGGAGACACTTCTGTATCTCAATGCAAAATACAATCAACTGTATCAGCATCAAGAAAATGTAGCAATTAATGAACAATTTAGGGAACAATTGACATATTTGATGATGAACCTGATACTGTAAAGCCCGAAATCTTTACATCGTGCGCCGCAACATGACAATGATTGACAATAACAAAAAATGTAATTGTGGGTTACCAAAACAGGGTAAAATGGTCAGAGCATATGTCACAGGCTTTCTTTTTGATACATTTGTATGTTTTAATAAATAAAGAAATTGTTTTCAAGAATTTTTATGCATGGTCTTGGCGAAGGATTATATCCTTTGATCGGTATCTCGGGGATGCATAAAAAAATTTATTTATTAAAATTTGCCTTTTTTTCTTCACTTTTCTTCTCAAATAATACTTACTAATAACCCTCTAAAGGATAATATGATGCAGTATATGTTTTCCTTTGAAAAAAAAAATTATTTAAAAAAATAAAAATAATTTTGACTTTTTGAGAAATATTTCCTTGAATGATATGTTATTTACAAATAGTCATAACTTTTTTATTTATGAGTCTATTCTTTTGAAATTTGAATATGTTTTATAGTATTGAACAGATTCTAATAAAATATCAATTTTATTGATTTAATTGGAAACACTTTTTTTTTTCCTTCTTTGTAAAACTGTGATGTTATATTTTTGTCGACTTAAAAAAATAATTTTTTTGCCCAAAAATAATAAAACATCAAATTTAGCAAGGATATTGTGTACAAACACCAAGTATCAATTAAAGAGCATCCAATTACCTTTAAAATCATATATAATACTTGGAGGTAGCTACAAAATTACAGTCATGAGACACTTTGAAGAATAAGATATATTCAAGGTCATTAAAAAATGGAAAAATCTACAGTCTTTTGAGAGTTAATGGGTTTTTCCCCCCTCATGTTTAGTTACATACTATATTGGGGGTGGGGGGCAGAGGCGTAGCGTGGTGGGGGCAGGGGGAACAGATGTCCCCGGGCGCCAGCTAGTTAGGGGCGCGAAAATGTGCTTTGATATTATTTTATTGATGAAAATAATAGGTTTGAGAGTTGAAAAAAAAAAGAAAAAAGGGGCGCTAAAAATGGATCTTGTCCCCGGGCGCGAGTCTTGTCCCCAGGCGCCAAACACCCTCGCTATGCCCCTGGGTGGGGGGGGGGGTGGGGGACCAAGCCAAGCACAAAAGGGAGAGAAACAATTTTCTCAAAAAGAAATACCGTAGAGGAGCTGTGCATACCGCTATACTATATATCTACATATTATTGCTGGTATTGCAACGTTAAAAATTAAATAATTAATGATTATGTTTTTATATTTTTCTTTTTTTTGAGATCCGTCCGTCAAAATGTGACGAAATCACAAGGCCTATGATTTATCTTTAGGAGTATAATGTGGCTCCCCGGAAGAAAAACAACTCCTTTCGTGCATCTGGTGCAGGGGCGTGGCGAGGGTTTGTGTCACCCGATGTGGTAACTCATGGTGTCAACACTCCCCACACACACCGACTTCCACGGTGGATTTCTTCTTGTTAAAATAAATCCACAGTATAACAATGACGAGAAAAAATTAATTGAAATGTCATGAGGTAAATGTATTTCAGAACTGTAACATGTGCTTAGAATCGCCCGACCACATAACATTTGGCATCAATGGAAAGCTTTATTTATCAGAATTTAGCTAAATATAGCTTCCTAATCATTGGAAAGCTTTATTTATCAGAATTTAGCTAAATATAGCTTCCTATCACTTTCGAAAGTTACCGAACACTTCAATCGACCTTGAATCATGGCCAAGACATTATTTTATGACCTAATTATAGGGTCACCTCATTTCTGAAACATCAACCTTGCACTTTTTAATAACCAAGCATTTGGATGGGTTACGTGTTTGGAACATTAAGGTGTGATCGGTTCTCCTTTTTTTTAAAATTCAGTTAGACCGAGCAGGGTGCGATCTGTAAATTCGCAATTTTGATTTGGGCTGTGTGTATATATATGGTTGGCGGTTGTTCGTCAGTCTGGAGTCGACCATGACCACTTTAATCATCAGCTTTGTGCTAGTTCTGTCTGTGGGTGCGCAGATGGCTAATTTGGCCGATTCTGGCGCGAAATTTCGGGAGCAGAGTGAGACATGGCATGTCTATTGCGCACTGTAGCCGCTGTTCTGCTAACTACATGTTGCATGGAGCTCCTGTGTTAAGTGAAACGCCATGACGTTCAATCCTTTGATTTTTTCCTCCCACGTGTCTGGGTTTAAGTCGAACGCTTTCAGTGAGGCTTTTAGGTTGCCTTTAACACGTTTCTTCTGCCCGCCAACAGACCGCCTACTATGTTCGAGCTCGCCATAGAATATTCTTTTAGGCAGGCGGTCGTCTGACATTCTCGCAACTTGTCCCACCTGGCGAGTTCGCTGAGACTGCATTAAGATGGTAAGGATGCTGGGGAGACCTGCCTGTGTTGACACCTCAGTGTCTGGTACCCTGTCCTTCCATTTAATGTTGAGTATTTTTCTGAGTCTTGTTGTATGAAAGTGGTTTAGCTTTCTTGCACGTCCACGTTTCACGGGCATAGAGAAGCGCAAGGAGAACAGCCCCCTATGTACTGTCAGTTTAGTTTGCGTGCTGATATATAGATATATATAAATATATGTTAATATAATATATATATAAACTAGAACTAGAATGAATGACCCGATGTTATCGGGACAATAATGGTAGGTCCATTGCGATAGTTTCTACCTGCCATTGCAAAAACTCATCACAATTCATAACTTTGAAAAGAAGGATTAATGTAATAATTATTTACGTTTCAAACATCAAGAAGTTTTGAGACATATTTAGCTGCTACATATTATAAGCCTACCCTATTCCCTTTCACGCCCAATATTACTTTTTTCCATCTAAACATGACCTTAAATTATCCAGTTTAAAATATTTAAATTATCACTAATTATATCACCTTTATCACTAAAGAAGTTAATTGAGGGACGATTTCCACGCTAGAGAAATAATCTAGATTTAACCCTTTTCATGCCCTTGATTTACATTTTTTTTTCATCTAAAAAAAACAACAACAAAAATGATAATAAAAAAAACATAATAATATAATATAAATGTATTTAATATTCAAGGAATTTGATATTATATCTTCATAAAAATTTTTTTAAAAATTATACATTATCAGAAAATAGTAAAACAAAGAAGTCTTTGATCTAAAGAAGAATCTCGCAACCGTTTTTCACGCCTCTAACAGACTTGAGTGTCTTTTTTTTTTTAATTTAAATTGTTGATCTCATAAAAATACACACCTCGTTACTTTTTGCAAAGTAAAAACAAAAACATATTTTTATTTTTTGAAAGTAAATGTTAAGCATCTCTATTTTTCAAAATTAATTTTTCAAGTGTGTAAAATGATTGGGCTTTGATAATTATGGATTTACTTGTATAAATGTACACACGTTTTGTTATTGTTAAGGCCATTGATATTCTTAATTGGTAAACATGTGTTTATTTGTAAAAAAAAAATGTAACAACTCTTTTTTCACAAATGTAATACCATAGGTTTTAAATATATTGTCATCCACGTAAAAATGTACACATCCTATTTCCTACCTCCGACATGTATTTATCCAAGAAAATTAATTATTTATCCAATTCATTCCTTTGTTTTAAGACGTATCTTGTGCTGCCTTGGGCAAAAGAACATATTCGTATTTGTAAAAAGAGAATGTAACATCTCTTTTTTCACTAGTGTAATAAGATAAGATAAGATTCTTTTATTGATCCAAACAAATGGAAATGTTTAATGGTTGCATTGTACATTTTCAGCACATATAAAAAACAATTTGAACACAAGACATCTGTAATAAATTTTTTCACTAGCAGCCATTCCGTGAGTTCTCTTAGCCAAATCAGGGACTTATTTGTTCTTATTAAGATTTGTGACTTCAGGGGGAGCATGCTGGTAAATTCGTACAGATTGGGAAACAAAAGAATTTTTATCTTTCAGTCCTCACCCTGATGGAAAGAATTTGTCAAGAACGGGGTGATCCTCAGTATCCATGATGAAGAGGGTGGGATGTATCATCCAAAATGTGTTTAATTTTACAATACAATAACATCTTTCTTCAATTGTTCTTCAAGTGAAGGAAGTTTAGTTTGTGTTATGTTCCTAGCTTTCTTGATTAGTCCGTATACGCTGTGTTTAATATCAGATGTTGAATTCCCACACCAGCAGGTAATACTGAAATTAAGTAGGCTTCCAATTGTTGCTCTGCAGAATAAGTTAACGACTTGTTTGTTTATGCTGAAATTGTACAGTTTTTTGAGGTACAACAGTCTTTGGTTGAATTTCTTATACAGCCTTTTACCGTGCTCATGCCATGTTAGCTTATTATTAATGGTGATACGTAAGTACTTATATGCCTCAACTTTCTCTACACTTTGATTTTTTATGTTGAGTTCTGTAATCTGGTGTTTCCCCCTCCTGAAATCAACAACCATTTCCTTTGTTTTTGAGACATTCAGCTGGAGAAAATTTTCATCGCACCAATTGATAAAGGTTGTAACTAAGTTGCGGTATAGGCCTTCGTCTTCAAATATTAAGCCACAATGGTGGTATCATCATCAAATTTTAAGATTGGAACGGTGTTGCTTGAGCTTTTAATATCATTGGTATATATTGTATACAGTACAGATTCAATTTAACTGTAGATGAAGATGACAATTAACCTTGCTTTTGCATTGAATTGTAAAATTTTGTTCCAGAGAAATTTGAAATTTTCATGCAATACACTCCGTCAAGTACAATAGAAATGAAGAGAAATTGAAGATTACTGCCTGCACCAAATCTTATTGCAAGGAGTGCGACAATATTATAAGAATTTATGTTGGAGAGAGAGGAGGGTACCTAAATAAATAATTTAATTTTAAAAACATTAACACCTCGTTGTTTTTGTTCATAAAATTTTATTTAAGATTACACAACATTTTCCATTTTTAGTAGCTGGTAGAGACAGTTGTGTCAAACCAAAAAAGATCTCGGCCCATCTGGCAAATCCCTATTGCAAATAGTTTGCGTGCGTGTAATGCTGAACTCTAACTTTATTATTATTGGAAAAATTACTAAGCAAGTAATTTCATCTAACATACATCAAAACATGACCCCAAAAAAAACCAAGCAAGTCATAACATTAAATAAGTTTAATTGTAACATTTGGAAGTCCAGATATTAAAAAGAAATTACTTCTATGCAATAATCTCCCATTTTCATATTCTTTTGTTGTTCTTCAAATCTGCGGTTCAATTCTGATAATGTCCCTTGTAATGTCTTTGATTCCAGCTGCCAATTAGCCTGAAAGATTTGTAAAAATCGTAAGGCTAGAGAACATTGACAAAGGAAATAATTTGAATTTACTCTTCAGTTTTGTAATCAAAATTGACTTCTTTGTTTGATAGTACAGCCTATCATAAATATAAGGTAGAGATTGCTTGGTAAGGTAACATGGACAGCAAAATTAACACCTCAAGTTATCCAGTCAATATAATAATTTGCCAAGAAAGCAAAGATTTCCAGAGATAGACTTGTCCCACTTTAACTTATGATGGATGCTTGTATTAAAACATTTTAAAAAGTGAAAAAAATATCCATACAATTTTAAAGAATATATTAATTTACCTACATTAAAAGTAAATATATTGAGATAAAAATTATACTGATCGTGTACATCTCTTACCATTACTGTAACTTGCTGATGTAAAGACTCTAAAATGCTATTGGCATCCTCTGCCAATTTTAGCTGCTGGAAATGACCATCTACAAGGGCATCTAACCAGTCAATGATCTGGGGATGTCAGAAGAAGAATACCATTACCTTTATTGAAATGTCTTTAATACACTGAGCTAGAGACCGACCGAAAGTGATTTTCTGATTTCGACCAAAACCGAAACCAGGCCGAAAGTTATCAAATGGCAACTTTCAGCGCCAAAACCAAAGCCGATGCCAAAATTTGGTCGGTCTCTACACTGAGTATATTAAGTAAACTATTAAGATATGTAGATAATACCAGTAATAAATATTGATTATAAAAAATATGGCACATTTATGCATTTTTTTTTGGGGGGGGGGGGTAAATGGTCAAACATTAATTATTTATATATAGAAATAGAAAGATTTTTAGAGTACGGGGGAAAAAATAATATTTTACTCTTAATGACAATTACTGTTGGTTCACAGGTTTTTTCTTACCAAAATTTTAGCATCAACTTAATAATGGTAAATGGTCAAACATTAATTATTTATATATAGAAATAGAAAGATTTTTAGAGTACGGGGGAAAAAATAATATTTTACTCTTAATGACAATTACTGTTGGCTCACAGGTATTTTCTTACCAAAATTTTAGCATCAACTTAATAACATCCAGGCTCAAAAAATAAAAAGATTAATTACTGAGAGAGGTCAGAGTATCCTCATTTAACTGTTTAGATGAGAATGCTCTAGTGTAATGCACATTTCCCCAACAACTACGTCAGTGACAGTGAACATTGTGCACTGATAAATCCTTTTGTCTAATGTTTTTGATGGGTAAGAAAATGAATGAGTAAATTCCTTTGAATAATCTATGACTCAAATTACCTGTTCCAATGTAGGAAGACATTGACTTTGCTCTTCCACTGAGGGTAGCCATGTCAATAGAAACTGAAGGTATTTAATGAGGATCTGAAAATATCAAAACAATGCTGTCCATTGATTTTTTTTTATTGATATATTACCAATCTGTTTATTTTAATGGAAATTTTTTCTGAAAACAATTCTGTGCCTCAAATTATCAAAGAAAATAAAGCACTATTCTTTTAACTTATTAATATCTGGTACTTTTTCATTCTAAACTGAACAATCTGGCTCTGTGTTTGTTTGCAGATGAAGTAATTAAATAATAATTAAATCTAATAAAATAAACTCAATTGTTGTATATCTTAATTTAAAAATTATTTAAGTGTTGAAAATAAATTCAAAATGTTAACTTATTAAAATATCTAATTATTGTATGTAAAATTTGACTTACAAGGACAGAATCAAATGACATAGATCTGGCTTCTTCTTGTAAGAATTGAGGACTGAATTTCTGACCAAGCATCACATTTCTGAATATAATAGCTAAGAAAATGTGTCTGATAAATAAAGTAGTTATTTCTATTAATGATGCTAGGAGACAATGACCAAAAAATAGAATTATTATTAAATAGAAACACGCAAGTATAATCTTAAATATATATAATATAGGGCAAAACCATAAAACCTTATCAGTTTATAATAATTGTCAAATCCAAATTAATTTTTTTAAAAGATACAATGCATAGCACTTTTTGTCAGTGAATGGAGCATCAACATCTTCTCCAAGCCATGGAACTCCTTTAGAGATATCATTGTATTGAACATTTTTAGAGGCTTTTTCGATATGTTTTTCATCAACCCTGTGATAAAAAAAATCTTGTTGACCATTATAATTATAACAATATGGTTATCAACAAGTTTTTGTAATCATTTGAACAGTATGTAAAATTTATAAAGGATATCAGCTCATGATATTGAGTACTATGTTTTAAAGCTTTTGCGTATTCAAATAGTTGGACTATTTAGTCATAAGGAAGAGATTCTAAAAAATGGATTCCAATGAGTAGAAAATACAAGAAAAAAAATTGGAAATGGAAAACTGTCCAAATTAAAAGCTTAAGCTAAATCAATTATTATGAATACTCAGGGCAAGGCAAAGAAGACTTCATTACACTTAGTGAGGAGACCTAGATACAGTGAGAACTGGAAAGAAGTAGAGTGAGATGGAAAAATTGGTGAATAATCTACACACCTGTGGGAGCAACATAGTCAAAGATAAATTTGTTGGTATTTTTGCAAACAGAAAGACCTTTTCAATAAATTTGACTGCATTGATTAAATTTATTTTTCATTTCAATAATTAACTCGAAATAATTTTTATATAGTTACTTCATAAACCAAACATTTAGTAAAAGTGAACACAATCCTTCTTGTAGCAAATAAATTCAGTGGTCCCCCTTAATGCAATTGAAGAGTCCTGACACAACTGTCTCATTATTTCATACAAGTTTAAAAATCATTCATTCCATGTCTTTTATGGTGCATTCTGTGTGATGTCAATTAACAAAAACAATATTACCGGTATTGTCTTTTTCTTTTTTTAAAATCTATATATGTTAGATTGGTTCATCTTGTGTTTAACCAATGAGCAAAAATTTCACTTTTGTCATTGGTATTATTTACTTGAGTATTAACATTGCTATCCTTTAAACCGTATCCATTTCTGTATGCTTTTTTATTTATTTTGGTTGTCAATTTATCTCACAATAAATAATCACAGTATAGAGCAAGTAGAGTCATATAAGTACCTAGGTATCACCATTAATAATAAGCTGACATGGCATAAACACAGCCAAAATCAGTATAAAAAAAAGTCACCAAAGACTTTTCTATCTTAAACAGTCTTACAATTGTGGCGTAAACAAATAAGTTATTAGTTTTTTTCTAGAGTGCAACAATTGGAATCCTACTAAACTTCAGCATTATTTGCAGATGTGGGAATTCATTGTCTGACATCAAGCACCAATTAAATAGACTAATCAAGAAAGCTAGTAATAGACTAATCTAACATCCTTTACTTGGAAAAATTTGAAGAAACATGCTGTTGGAAAACTAAAGAATTTTGGATGATATATCCCACCCATTTTATCAGAGACACCTAAGATCAGCTCGATCAGGGCAAATTCTTCTCTTAAAATTAGAAACGAAAGTTATAAAAATTCTTTTGTTCTCCCAGTCTGAATGAATATACCAGCGTGCCCCCACAGTAGTTACTAAATCTAATTGATCACTAATTAAGTCATTAAAGGGGTTAATTGATGGCTTATTTTCTATGCTAGAGAAATATTTTAAATGATTAAATGTCTTGTGTTTAAATTATTATAATTGTAAAACGGTGTCTTGGTTAAAATGTGTATTTATTTGTGTGCTGAAAATGAATGTGTAAAATGTAATAAATAATAATTTCCATTGATATGGATCTATAAAGATCTTATCTTTTCTTAAGATCTTAAATAGCTTGAATGCCAAAAGGCATGAATGTATATTCTTACCAAAGGCTAATAAGAAAAGGCATTAAAAAAAAACTAAGCAGCTAATATTTCAAAGAACATTCAACTTCAGTAAATAAAAAATATTTTTTTACTTAAGCAGCCATTCTATACTCTTGATAATGCTGGCTTCTGAAAAATCATCTAGAACTTCTGGTAGACGCAACAGCTTGCACAGATCTCCTTTCTCTATACAACTCTCAACTGCTTGTCTGTCATTACTAGTAAAAAAAAAGACATTAGGTAAAAAAATTAAATATTAAAATCACTTTTTAAAAGGGTATTATGAATTAAGCATTTCCAAAAGTTCCAACTATTAACCCTCTGACAATTAAGCTATGTTCAAACTGCACATTTATTGCTTGGATTCTCAACTGCTACTGTGCAAAAAAAACAATTTCATTTTCATTGCTTTCATTGAGTGTTGCAGTATATTGTTTGCTGGAAATATATAGAAACAATTCCATAATATTTTTTTTTCATTGTGTGCATGGGTTATTATCAGTTAACATTTAACAACATGTAGAAAATGAAGTGGTCATAAAAAAAAAACATTATGAATTTAATATAATCTGACTTGTCTATAAATGTATCAATTGATAATGGCCAGATTTTGTAGTTCAAAGATTGTTGTTTGATTTTAATGGAGTGAACAAGACAAGAAAAGATAATTTACAGGAACAATATCTAGTTTAAAAAAAGGAATTAGTTAATTTTTTTTTTAATGTTCTGTTTTTTATATTCCATTGAATGAGTGGTTTTTGTTGAAATTACATTCTTCTTTAAATTATCCCTTGGGGGAAAAAGTTATGGGCATGGCATGACAACGCCTTTCCCGGGGATAATGTTAAAATATCATGTGTGTTAACAAAGCAAAAAAGACTCCACACACAAGATGGAAATGTGACATGTTCCACACACAAAATGGAAATGTAAGTAGAGAGAAAGTCTTTAAAAATGGACGCCTGGAGATGATGCTAAAAGCTATAGACCTAATGCATTGGAAAACTTACAGAAAGAATATTAAAAAATTGCCTCTATTGGTGGCTAGAAACAACTAGTACTCTAGAAACAACACCAAGCTGGCTTCAGAGCTGAACAGCATACTGATGTTCAATTCTCCCACCTGTGTTTAAGGGTCTTAAATGGCTTACTCTGGAAGTTCAACAATGCAGGGATTCATGGCAAGATTTACAAATGGTTAAAATGCTCTTTTACTGATACTATCCAAACATAAATAAATAATGCCACCTCATCAAAATGTGCCTTAGAAGAACAGCTCACACAAGGTTCCTCAATGAGTTTCCCTATTCTTAATGTTTATGAATAACTTACAGGACAAGCTACAGGTGGAGTAGGCCCTCCATGCAGATGACCTTGTGATGTGGCATACTTGCCGACACCCAGGTATAAGAGCAAGATGTCTAAATGAAGACTTATTCAGGCTCACTATGTACTGTGAAAAGTGGAAACCGAAAGTAAACAACACCAAGAGTGTGTAAACGATCTTCACTTAAGCCTGAAAGGTAGCCAAATAAACACTGCACTACCCCTACAAGGCACAACTCTTCAAAGAGAAGTAAACCCAAAATATCTAAGTGACTAGTTAGATAGGCAACTCAATTTAAAAAAGCATGTTAAAAACTTGAAATAAAAATCAACAAGATGGCTAAACCTTGTTAAGAGACTGGCCAGTACCTCAGGGCACCCTGAAAAACCACAATGAGCCAGTTGTACTTAGGATATGTGTGATCAGTGATGGAATACAGTTCTGCCCTACAGTATCTTTGCAGCAAGACAGTGCAGGACTCTCTATGAAAATTAAAAAGCTAAGAAGTCTATATCATTTTGGGAGGTTTCAGATCTACCCCAACAGCAGCATATGAAATATAAACTAATATTGATCCACTAAATCTTTGAAAAGAGGCATCAGTTATCAAGATGGTTCTCAGCTACAGAAGGCTAAACAAGTAAAATCAAAATAGACAAATGGAGACCAAACCATAGAAATAAAAAGAAGTCAAAATACTAGATGTGACCTCTGAAACACCACCTACAGACGGGAAACACTTGCTAAATTATAACTAAAGATCTATCCCCCAAAAAAATTTTACAAATGGCTTATAACAAAATAGACCTAATACAAAAATAAAAGTTAAGACCCATTACATACAATGATAGCTGCAGAAAAAAACCATAGTATCCTACCCAGAGGATATAATCCAAATATTCACAGATGGGTCAGCTTTCAACCGATCATGTGACGAACTCTGCAACCCTTATGGTGTGATCTGCAGTAATTAAAAAGCAGAAGCACTCCTACTGAAATAGTGTTAACACATATCTGCATTCTTCACAGTTTATCCCAGACATCAGAGAAATATTGTTATCTTCTCCAACTGCATTTCAATACTTGAGGCAGCTTAGCATCTCACAACAACCCTAACATCACCATTTCTGAAAATACACACCTTTATCAAAACCTATACAGTCAAGATAACCTTATAATGGGCTCCACAAAATATCAGGAAATAAAATAGCTAACAAACTAGCGTCACTCAAGACTGTGAAGAAGATTATCAAAGCTAACAAAAAACAAACAAAAAAACAAAAAAAAGGTGGTTAAATGGATGGGAAATGGGCTCAACAGGAAGATGTCTTTTCACACATATGCCTACATGAACAGGTCATAATCATTCACCTGCCTACAGGACACATACAATTTAAGTCCCACCTTAGCAACATTGAACCAGATAAAAAACCTTTGTGCCACCTCTTCAAACTTCCAAATGACTAACGAGTCAGTAACACATCACCTCTTCCACTGACTCTGCCCAGGGCGTCAAGACTTAGGTCTAAATCATTTACTAAAAACACCAAACTACACCAATGCTGTATGTACAAACAATGATTGCAGTTGCGGAGAGTGTGTCAATTCTTTACCATGGTCAAAGTGCATATGCCCAAATGGCCACTTGATCTGAATGATGATGATGGATTACAACTAATAAAAAAAAATTTGTAAGCAAGGAAGCTGATAGTGAATTAATAATTTTTGTGATGACTCCACTTTCTACTGGTTTCTACTGTGCATTGATAAAAATAATATGGGATTGTTTTTGCATATTGCCAGCAGATAATATACTGCATCACTAAAATATATATAAAACTGAAAATGAAATGGTGGCCTTCTTTTGTTGTTTTTTTGCAGCAAGTAGTTTGTGGTCATAGAAAGTTCGCTGAGAAACCAAATAACCAATTTGCAGTTGCAACGCAGCTTTCAGCCCATTTTATTTTAATAAAATTAGGCTTATATAAACTATATAATATAATATTATAAATTAGGCCACACCCTAGGCTATTTCAATCATTTGCACCTAATTTACTGAATTATCAGATCACGCTATAAGTATATGACAATGACATGATCAGACCTGCCAATCTGTCAAGAACAAAAATATGTAGTGGGTGCGTGGGGGTCGGGGGATGCCCTGGGGCATTTGTTAATATAAGATTTACATACTAATGCACAAGCCTTTTTTGGTAAATAAAGAATTGAAATATAAAGTTACTCCATTGTCTTTGAAGAGTCCACAGATGACTACAGAAATGTTTATATACTGATATATACAGAACAGAATATCCATTTTATTTACAAATGTACACAGGCTGCTAAGAGTTCAATTTTCCAGCATCTCCCTAGTGATCTTTTTGCACTGGTCCAACAGCTCTTTGGACAACTGAAGGTTATCAACTTTCATGGTTGCCCTTGTTTCATTGTAATTTTTCTTCACATTCTTCTAGCAATCTGCAAGTCTGGAAAATATTTCTTTGACGCTGGTATTAAAATAATTGGAGTTAGCCAGAGAAATATTTCCTTCAATAAGAAAGGAGATAAATAAAACTTCCGATCTGATAACTAAATCGTCTGATTCCTCAGCAAATAACTTAGACATGGATGTCGTAGATTCACTGCCTTTCTCTGCAGTTGTATGGTTTCATTTTTTTTTGGTTAAAATATGTTTATTAATATCATTGTACCCACCATTTTCAATAGATTTATCCATTTAATTATGATAAACTTAAAAAAAAAAAAAAAAACACACACAACTGAATTATTTTTTTCAGCCTAGTAAAAGGGTGAATTACGATTGGATCAATTGATGATTGAAGAATGATATGGAGATCACGATTCGCTTTGATAAAAACAAGGCAGTGTCTACACGTCTGGTGACCGACAAATAGTGCAGAAGATATTCATCTAGCGGGCAGGTCACACTTTATTTAACATTGTCACTTTTTTAACCCTTTGTTCATTGTATAAAACAGCAATGGTTCTAGTATTTCTTTTGTAGAATTTAACATATTTCTTTTTCATGTAAATGTCCAAACTATCTTGAATATGTTGAAATAAAGTACCGTAAATTCTGATTGACTAAAAGCGGTCACTTGACAAGACTGGCGTCCAAATATCATGTGCAACTTTATTATGGCGGTCATGTGACTTGGTAAAATATATAAATAGACAGACAAATATCTCGAGAACTTATTCGTCCGATCACTGGACATGTTATGTAGACAATTGTAAAAAAAAAAAAAGAAGTGGCATCATCGAAAAGCCCCACTTCCTGTTGCATCTGTTGTTTTTTTTTGACGGGTGAAAAATTTTAATGCTCAGAAAATCTGAATTTTAAGGTGTTTGTCGGAAAGTTGGAATGAGGGGTAGTCTAAAAAATCTGTATAATTCTGACAAATCCGGAAGGGTTGGCAAACCTGCATGATTTTAAACTTTTACTTATTAACGTTTTATTTTAACTTACTATATTTTAAAAGTACAGTAATTAGTATAGGGCTGGGACTAATTAATTTTAAATTGGATTAATGATGATATTTATGATTGATAGGTAAATCTTAAGGACGAATGCCACATTTTTATCGAATTTCACGAATGTATCCCTAAATCGATCCATATGCCATGCCCAACCTGAACCCTAAATCGATCCCTATGCCTAACCCTAATATTATGCCGATGCCTAACCTGAACCCTATATCAAATCGATCCCTCAACCTAACCTAAACCCTAAGTCCTAAGCCGCCTAAGCCCTAATTCACTGCAACTATAATAAACACAAAAAAGACGCTGTGGCATCCTTCCTAAAATCAGCTGATTAATATTTTATATTTTGTTAATTTGTGGAGTAGGACTAGGTCGTCTAGGTTTAATTTTCATTTTACTTACTCACTACTAACTGTCAAGCAAAAAATTCCATGTTTTTAAACTTTAAACATTGAAATTGATGATTAATTTTTTTTTTTTAAATTATTAATAATAATATTACGATTAAAAGTGGGATGGAAAGAAACTTACACAGCCATTCTATTCAACTGGAAATGTAACAATCATTAAATTTAAATGATCACAATTGTAGAAATCATAGGCCTACGCTGCATATTAGTTATTAGTAAGGCCCATTTTCTTTTCACTGATCACTGTTATTTAGAAAGGTTGGTAATAGTAATACCCTTTAGCAGCGTTGAATTTAGTGTACACATGGGATTATTTACCGAGTTCCAAAAAATTACCGAAATAAATATTAGTTCTTTTTCGTTTAACATTAAATTTTCTTTTTCGGCGCTTTATATGCAAATATATATAAACAATACCAACAATCGTGATTAAATTATATTTGATATTCTTTTCTGTAAGAAATCTTTTTTTTTAAAAGGGTTACGTAAATTATTTGCTATTAGTGTTAAATTATTTCTTAGCGAAAGAGAAAATTAGCTAATTACCGTAATAAACCAGTCTTATTTTAACACCCACATGCCCACATTATAATGTCAAATTCAAAAGCATGTAACATTTTTAATTGAAGTTACTTTAATACGTTGCATTTATTTCTTATAAAATACATATATTTTGTATTTATTTATTTTACCAACAAAAAAACAATTTATTTATAAACAATTATGACGTACAAGACAATCAAATAAAGTAAAGTCACCGTAAACCAATGGTTCCTAACGTGGGGTGTACGCCCCAAAGATAGACAATTTGAAGATTATAGGATATAATGTCTCTTAGACAGGGGTGTGGGGAGTGGTTAGAATGTGTGGTCCATCAAGGGGTGAACGTTTCTTTTTCAAAGAAGGGGTGGCATTTTTTTTCCAACTGGAGAGTTGTTGTTTTTTTTGTGGCATGGGGCGATCAAATTCTTGACCAACCCTGGGTGGCACCAACACTGCTCTGGGATATAGAAATTTTTTTTAAGTTCGATCAAAAGTTCGATGGGGTGATGTGAAATAACTTTTTCATTGGGCTAAACCAGAAAGTTCCCAAACCTCGGCCCGCGGGCCATTTGTGGCCCATTATCTCTCAGAAAGTGGCCCGCGAGGCCCTTATATTTACTATACAGTATTGATAAACATTTATAATTTTATAACGTTGAGCCTCGCTTAATTACCGAAAAAGTAGATATGGCTCTTAGATATGAATAGCTTAGGAACCAATGGGCTAAACCAAACTAAACCAAACACCCGCGCTAGCGAAATGAGGGAGAAAATCCATGAAAAATATATAAATAGCCTACATTAAACGGCAATATTTCTCAACTCCATTTTTCCCCATACACACCTGATCACCTAAGCAGGTTTAATGCCACAACCCTAGCCCCGATCCCAGAATATTTGTATACATGTACTTACTTTCTGCCGAGAACATCCCTCCAACAGGACCAGGGCTATAGTCCCGCCATAATCTCGAAAATCAACAACGCCCTCCCCCCACCTTTTACGTAATATAACGATGAAACCTTAAACTTATTTTTCAGACAACGCTCTTCATTTTTCAGGCTCTCCATGAAGATCTTTGGAAAGTTTCCATTTTGGCTTACTCACTAGCGTAGCTAGGGTCGGTGACGCCCGATGTGGTCCACAGCCCCTAGTTACGCCAATGGGCTTACTGATTCAACTCAGAAGTATTGGATTGTTCTGCATTGGTCTTTGTGGAAGAGATTTTTTCCCCTCAAAATCTTTTGGCGTTGTCCAGGTGACTGGTCATCCCAAACTTTAAGGGTAAAAGGGGGAGAGACTGCAATCAGGTTAGCACAATATAAAATGAGTAAAACAAAGTAGAATTAAACCTGTTGCGTTCCTTTTTCAGGTTTAACTCTACTTTGTTTTACTCATTTCATCCCAAACTTTGGCACTTTCAACTGAACCTAAAGTGTTGAATATTGTATGTCATTAAAAAAAATTGTAACCGTGGTTGAATTAGATTACATCCCCTAAACTTTGGCATACTGAACTTGTCATTCATAAGGAGTAGCATCAGCGACCCGATCTGAAGCTCTTATGAGCTATCTGGAAATTCTTATTTGCGAAACCTCCCTGAGGGGATGTGCCACTAAGCGGCACCTTGAGATGTTTCGCCCTATTGATAGTGGTTTTGACCGACACGGATAGGGGCATTTTCGCTGACACTTTCTCGCGAAGGTTTCCTCAGAGCTGTCGACCGCTAATATCCTAGTAGTGTTTAAATTCTTAAGTGGTACTGGGCACTCCTGGTCCTTACGTCAAACACCACAAGAACTAGCCAGTGATGGTTGTGTAGAGAAGACCCGTCATCAACAGTGTTTCATTTTTCGTCATTGATAATACCTACGATCCTTTAGCGGCAGCTGTAATCATGTGCCCTAAACTCTAGATTCTAACATTACATGTGCCCTAACCTCTACAGCTCCTAAAATCTTTGCCCAACTTTTTCTTTGCAATACAAATTATTATATTTTTTTTACTCAAAAGCATTGAGATAAGATAAAATAAGATTCTTTATTGATCAAAATAAATGGATGATTTTTTATTACTTTGTACATATTCATTTTCAGCACATAGATAAATACATATTTTAACCAAGACAACGTTTTATTTATTTATTTATTTATTTATTTAGGCATTTTTGTATAGCGCTTACCTTACAGCTCTAAGCGCTTTACAATTATTAAAAATATGTAAACTATTTAAACTGCTAAAGTAAAATAAAAATGAAAATTATAAATTGTTTTGAGAAACCCATCCTCAGAAGCACAAGACATTCAAAATTTTTCTCTAGCGCAGAAAACGAGCCATCAATGATCTCCTTTAGTGACTATAATGAATTTATCAGCGATAATTTAGATTTGGTAACAGCTGGGGGAGCACGCTGGTAAATGGGGAATAAAATAATTTTTATATATTTCTGTCCTAACTTTAAGAAAAAGAATTCGCCCTGATCGAGCTGATCTTAAGTATCTGTGATGATGAAGAGAGATATATCATCCTATTTTTGTTATTTTAAAACAGAACTGTAGAGTAAGTTAATGACTTGTTTTTTTAATGCCACAATAGCACAATTTTATAAGATAGAAAAGTCTTTGGTTGATTCTTTAAACACAGACTTTAACCATTTCTTTTTCCATGCCATGTTGGCTTATTATTAGTAGTGACACCTAGGTATTTATGTCTCTAATTCAGCGTTTCTCAACCTGTGGGTCAGGACCCCTTTGGGGGTCGCGCTACCCTTTCCAAGGGGTCGCCTAAGACCATCTGAAAACACATATTCTTACAGCTATGAAGCAGCAACGAAAATAATTAGGTGGCTGAGGGTCGCCATGACACGAGAAACTGTATTAAAGGGTCGCGGAACTAGGAAGGCTGAGAACCACTGCCCTAATTGCTCTCTACCAGTTATTATTTATTGTAAGATCTGTAGTTGGGTGATTCCCACTCAGGAAATCGACGACCATTTCTTTCTTTTCTTTTTTTTTTTTTTTTTTTTTTTTTTTTTTTTTTTTTGAGACATTTAACTGAAGAACATTTTCATCGCACCAACCAATAAAGCTTGTAACTAAGTTGCGGTATGAGCTTTTCGGAATTATTAAGTCATCAATGGTGGTATCATCAGCAAATCTAATGGTTGGAGCGGTGATGATATTTGGGAATTCCCCTTGGCATGTTTGTGGGCGATTTGTTGAAAAGTTCAGTATCCACGCTTGCATATTTTCATTCAAATCTAAACGAAGAAAGCTTTTTAATCATAAGGTGTGGTTGGATAGTTTAAATGCTGATGAGAAGTCAAGGAAAAGCACTCATAATAATATTCGGGCTGTAAAATATCATTCGTGGTACTTCTGGCAGATTTATAAGAAAATTGGAGGCGGTTTCAGTTTTTGCATTTTTCATTAATAAAATTTCTGAGGATGGGTTTCTCAAAACAATTTATTACTATAGAGGTAAGTGCGACAGGACGTAATTTTTCTTAAGCTTTCCATAATTTTAGTACAGCATGAGTTTCATTAGATTTTTTAAATATGTAATAAGTTTCATAAAGTTTATAGATTATTATGTTTCGTTAGCTTTCAATGGGTTTCCTCGAATGTTAATAAGTAAGAATTAAATATAATTTTTGAAGTTTCTAGAAAATTCCAAAATGATTGTCCATTATTATGACCTAAGCTATATACATGATGTTCCGTCGGGAACCCACCGGGAACGGGATCAAACATGGAATGGTATCCAACTTGGAGCAGAATCCAACCACTACACGGGATAAAATAGGGAAAGGGATCAACAGGAATGGAATCCAACCGGGAACGGTATTCCACTGGGAACGAGATTCAAATAGGCCTAAATAGGAAACGGGATCTTATCGGGGAACAGTATCCAACTGGGAACGGCAACCCAATGGCAAACAGGATCCCCCGGGGGACTGGGATCTCATTGGGGAACGGGATCCCACCGGCAAAGGAATTCAACTGGATTACGGGATCCTATCAGGGAATAGGATCCCATTGCCAATGCCGGCATTGCCAATGGCACTAGGAAATGGAATCTCAAGTAGGAACAAAATGATAACAAAAGTTATTATAAATGAATAAATGTGTTTTATAGGAGAAAAAATAACTTTTTTTTAGTGTCCTTAATTTCGATATAAGCTAAATTGCCGTTAGACGTTTTTTCCTGATGCAATCCTCCTGGGAAACACCGTGCATACTCGCTTGTTTATACAAATTATATTAACAACATGTCATACAAAATTATAATGCGATACGCAGAAATCATTTGAAATGGAAACCTTGTAAATTCTTGCCAACAAATGACTGACGTGTGCGTCCGTCAATGGCGGATGTGGTTAAGAGGAGTATCGTACGCGTATTAGTAGATAATTGTAAGAAGCCAAATGACTTGCTCCGTGGAATGGCTCGTCACCCTGAACTATGCTGTGTTGTATTCACGTTTCTGATAACTCTTTTCATCAAGTATGGTACTAGGTAAATATGCTGAACTAAATAACCGATCTTTCTTCAATCAAGCAAAAACTAAATTTATTTCTGAATCTGTGAATTCAGGTAACTGTGTAAGCGGTATTTGTTGAGCTTCAGGTGGGAATGAGCGAGTGCATTTAGTGAGATTTATGATTAATATCAAGGGCCTAAGGCTTACTATAGTGATGAGTCTGCTCAACTAATGTTAATTAAAACCCTTGCCAGCATTTAGTTATGACAATCAGTGAATCACTGAAGTTTAAACTGAACCAAGTTTATGTGAGAAAAATTTGGTATATGCCAAATGCAAAGAAGAGAAAATGAATAAAATACCATGCCATGCTGACATGCAATAATCCATTTTCAAATATGGTGGAAAAATTAAAATATTATAAATACCCAACCAATGAAATTTTAAAATTATAATTAATCAACCAATAAAATTTTTATACAAAACATACCATTGTCGTATTTTTACTCTAGTAACAAAAAAACAAGGGGACTGAATCAAAAACATAAACGTAACAAAAACATGCAAATGACGTAAAGGCATCTCTTCTTTGCATTGACCAAGAATTTGAATTGAGGGTAATTTAACTCGTGACGGATCTCCCTGTTTTACTGTGTTTTCGCCCTACTTTTTTTGACACAACCACCATATTTGTTGCCATGACGGTAGACATTATTTATTTATTTAGGCATTTTTATATAGCGTTTATCATAAAGCTCTAAGCGCTTTACAATTATTAAAACATGTAAACTAAGTAAATACATTAAAAAAGGGCTAAAAGGTTCCCAAGTTTCTGTATTATGAGTGAACTCCTCTTTGTTAAATTGCGTATTAGTATTGTTACTACTATTAATAGAGTTAAATATTCTTTATTATATTATATTTTTTTATTGGCAACTCTGACATTACACTCTCTCCCTCTGCCAGAAACCTTGGAGTCACGCTCACGGACACCCTCTCCATGGAGAAACATGTCACGAATATATGCAGATCAGCATATAACGAAATTAGAAAAATCAGCACCATTAGACACCTCCTCTCCTTTGATGCCACAAAAACTCTCGTCTCTTCACTCATTCTTTCAAAATTTGACTACTGTAACATTCTTCTCTCAGGCATTCCTCAACACCACATAGAAAAACTTCAGAAGGCACAGAACTCAGCATGCAGACTCATTTTTAAATCAAAGAAACATGACCACATTCAACCACACATGCGGCAACTCCACTGGCTTCCAATATCCTCTCGCATCAAATACAAGTCTGCCAATCTTTGCTTCAACTCGTTCACTGACCCTCACTTTCCTGTCTATCTCTCTGAACTGTTGCTTCCTTACATCCCCACAAGACAACTACGTTCTTCCATTGACAGTAGAACCCTCTCAATCCCAAGAACTAAAACTAAGACCATCGGTGAACGCTCCTTCTGCTTCCATGGGCCCACGTTCTGGAACCAGCTCCCCTTCCATATACGTCATAGTGAAACCTCGTCCATTTTCAAAAAGTCCCTTAAAACTCATCTGTTTAGGTCCGCCTATGACCTGTGATGCACCCTCCTTGCCCTACCTCATTTTCTGTTTCGGGTTGATCCTGAAGTGTCAAAGTGTCCTCGTTTTATAGCCATTTTCATTGTTTCTATAGTATAGTAGTTACTATCCTAGTGTCTCATTTGTATTTACTTAGTTTACATGTTTTAATAATTGTAAAGCGCTTAGAGCTTTATGATAAGCGCTATATAAAAATGCCTAAATAAATAAATAAATAAATATTAAAATTATAACATTTCAAAGTGAGGTTAATTAATACCAGTAATTGCTGGGTTTTTTCTGAGTCTGATCATTTGATAAATGGATTTTGACTTTATTAATATTGATATCATATGGTCTGATATGGTTATCTCCCTTATGTGAACATGAATCTTCAAACATAAAAATCAGTCTCCCTAACAGACCCTGTATTATGCTTCCGTTGCATAAAAAGAACACATAATAACTATTGAAAAAGTGAAAAATCAACATATTTTATATAACAAACTTAAGTTAATAATTAGCAAAAAGCTTGCAAAATTTATGAATTTTATTTTTTCAAAAAACCTAACCTAAAATCTGTCCCTCTGCCTAACTGAACGTTAAATGTCCCTAGTGCGAAAATCAGTGCTCCTTTCTCAAGCATAAATCTTCATAACTAAAATCATCCTCCCTAACTCTAGCGTAAATCTTCAAACTCTAAAAAACATGTGTTTATGTGTTACACATTGTTGTCGGAAAATCATAGATTTGAATAAAAAGATTACAATTTTTTTGAAAAGTTTTTAACCCTAACCCTAACCATCTTGCAGTTTAATCAAATACACTTTAACAAACTCCAAAAATAAACTCTAAAACATACAATTTAAGACAAGATCCAGACTCAACCAGGGAAAAGTAGAATCTCGTTTTAAAATAAAGGTATTGATTAACCCTGCTTTGAAATATTAATTATAAAATACATTCCAGCAGTGTTTAAGATCGAAAAAGAGAATAGTTAACAATAGTAAAAATCCACTAATAAATAAAGGTGATTTCAATCATCCACAGAAACTCGGTTGGGGGGGGGGGGGGACAGTCAAACGTAAATTGACCAAATTGGGTCCTAAGCCTAAGATAATAGTAAAAATCCCCCAATAAATAAAGGGGAGTTCAAACCTCCACAGAAACTCGGTTGGGGGGGGGGGGGCGACAGTCAAACGTAAATTGACCAAATTGAGTCCTAAGCCTAAAGTCACAAAGGTGGCTAAAGACAAGGGCTTAATCAAATGATCTTAATTAAACTTATAGACTCAGACTTAAATTCATGCCACAATATTTATTGATACTCTGAAATCTTTGAAAAACCATACAAAATCCTTTATGGTGGTACATCTTTTAAAATGCCTAAACAGTGCACAAAGTATGTGCAAACTGTACTGGTTGGCATGTATTACTGTAGGCCTTTATTTTAAAATAATTTTTGTTCAAAATTTTGTTTGACTCTTTTTTTTTTTAAAGCAGTTTCAAGACCAAGCCACTGACACTACCCCCAAAACAACCACAGTATATGTTTACACCATCATCATATGTGCTGGATTCCCCCCGGGGCTCATTGATTCCTTTAATACAGCTGTTACACGAACATGAATTTGTATTTGTAATGTATTATGCCCCCTGGTGTTACAAGTCTCAAGCTGCTAGGGCAGAGTTTTTAAAGGCTGCTAACTTTTTTAAAGGAGAGGTACAGTATTTTTAGTCTGTCTTTATTTTTTAACAAATATCATTACAAATTCTGCTTTCTAATGTTAATATTTTGAAATATGGAAGAAAGAGTTATTTGTTGTTTTCAATATCCAAGGTTTGACTGAAAATACTCAACAGATCTATAATACAATATATAAGTCAACACCATTTTTCCTTATAACAGGTTCACTTTGCTGCAGTTAACTGCTGGTGGCCAGAAGGTGAATGCAAAAAACGATACAAATTTTTAATGTTTCCTGTCTTCTTGGCATACCATACAAGGCTTGATGGCTACAGATTTTTTGGTATTTAATTTTAATAACAAGATTATTATTTTGCAATAGTTATTTAAGATATCTTTTAAATATCTAGTTTATACTAATGTCATTTATACTAAAAATAGCACCAGCTGTATTTAAGCTTTTTTTTTTTTAGTTAGTATTTGCTTTTTAACGCTGTAAAGGTTATTACTTTGAAAATTTACACCAGTGGCCTTCTAAAATCATAAGTACTGTTTGTTGTTTTATATAAGGTAAATTCTTATTATCTCAGGATGTTAGTATACATATTTTTGGCAAACCTATTATTAATTTTACAAATGTGATTTTAACTAGATTATTGTTTTCAATTGGTCTTCATAGTAAAAATACTGACTTTGCCTGCATTATAAAACTCCATTCTGTACAGGGTTGAATTTCTGTGATAAACAGTTACTGTCAAGAATTTGCTCTGTTTTGTGTCAGTTCCAAGCATATAATAGATACATTTAACTCTGTTGTTTATACATGCAGATTAAGAGAATCATAGAAATAAATTTGGTACTTACATTACAGATCATGGAAGACTTGAAATGTTTTATCAGAAATAGACATATATTAATCCATATTTTGAACTATAAATAGGCCTCTTAACTTTTAAATTCTTTATCTGTTTTAATTATGTTTCATGGTTTAAGTTAGGGAAAAATTTTACATTTTATTATAAATTTTTTTTAAAAACCAACAACTCATAATTAAAGACCTTAGTGCTAAAAGTCCTTAAATCACAAAATACACATTTTGAGATAAAGTTCAAATATTCTTTTCGTTTATAAAATGTGATCATTTTTATATTATGTCTTGTTTAATTAAGTGACTTAGGCACATTTTAATTTGTTCAAATTTCTGCAGTACACTTGGCTAAACCCGATAAGAAAAGGTCACAAGTTTAGACTGATTTTGACAAACGTGTGACTTAAGTACTTTTATTAGCACTGGGGTCTTCAATTGAAAATCCTTATTTTGATCTTAAATAAAATCTGTTGATTAAGCAACTTAAGGGAAATAATTACATTTTCATTTAAGAGGATATAATTTAGTAAACATTTTATTCTGCAGGTCATGCGAGAGCAGAACATATGATCAAATTTATAGAAAACCTTATTCGTCCTCTTCAAATTATGCATTCAACAACAGGCATTATAGAATTAATTTCCCAGCATGAGGTAATTTTATCTGCAATATTTTTTCAATAGAGACATGGCTGTTACATTTCCAGTTATTTAAAAATTTTAAAAATACTTTTTAAATATAAAATCCAGTGAAATTAACATCAGTTATGGAAATAAAAAGTTTTAGTCAAATGCTGTGAGAAAAAAAAAATTGATTGTTGGTATTAATTTGTAATTATGTTTTAATTTCTCACAAATGTATCACTATTAATGATATTCTGGAGTAACAGCATTTAGCCTCCTTAACATTTTTGGTCTTTTTACATATTACAGAACATCATCCTTGGCTATTTTAATCTTTCATTACCAAATAGTACTGATGCTTACAATCAGTTTTATTATGCTTCAATGCGGATTCTTGAAAGAGGTAATTTATTTTTATATTTCATCCATTTTATATTGAAAAGTATATTTAAACAAATAATTTTTACTCACAGTGTTCCCTCATCTATTGCGGGGATTAGGTTCCAGATCCCCACCCCAACATACCCAACATCCCCATCCAGCGATAGGGGAAAATCCGCAAAGTAGCAACCTTATATTTAATTATTATTTTTATAAATTTTAAGGCTTTATAAACTCTACCCACACCCTTATAAACCTTTCTCACACTGTTATTAACCTTTTCCACACACAATTAAACACTTCCTGTGCTCTTAAACACTTTTTACGCTATTAAACCTGCGTAATTTCATTGAATGTAAAATTCCACACATAAATCTGCAATAGAAAAATTAGATATACCCTGCCTTACAAGTAAAACATCCCTGATACATTGAGACCGTAAAAAAGTGAACCTAGATATGGCGAGGACAATTGTACAACATTTGAGGAATTTTTATGTATGAACTCTAATTTTTGTGAAGTTGCATCATATTACCAAATAGAGAGAATAAACATAAAGCCTGACATTTATTATCCAAAGCAAATTCTTTATTAGCCCCTTAAAAATTACAAAACAAAATATCCTAGGCTATCTCAAGAGGTCAAGTAAATGAAAGAAAATGTCTTTTCTGGGATAATTAATATTGAATTTGGAAATGTTACTAAACATTTTCTATAATTTAAAGTTTGTTACTAGAACAACATGCCAATATACAATGATTGATGCTTTATTTTAGATCCTTTCCAGCCTATTAAATTTGCAGTTGTTACCCAGCCAGAGGTGGCTAAGGAGTACTTTTTGTCTAATTATGAGGACATTATTATGGTCAGGCTTACAAATTCTTCATTGGTGAGTTGAAATCATATAAGCTAACCATAATTAACCATCATTACTGTTTATTTACTTAAGCCAAATACATCCATCTTCACATATGTGGTATAAGACATCAGGGGTTGAGAGATCATCAATATGATTTTTTTATTTTGATAAAAAAGCGAATCTGGAAATTATTTTTTTTTAATGTTTCAAATGAAACATTTTATATTTTATAATCAAACTATGACATGAAACAAAAGTTTATGTATTATTATATGTAGATCTTTTCGAGGAAATTCAAAATTATATATACTGGTAATAAATATCCATACATTTTTAAGCACTTACATTTCATCCCCAGTTTTATCCCTATGGGAAAAACATAACCAGCTCTAATCTCCTGACTTGGGCCATACAGAACAAAGGAAAGGTTGGTATTATACAATTCTTAATTTAGAGTCTAAAAAAAAATATTTGTAATAAATGCCATATTGAAAATTAAAGTAACCAAAAATAATTTTTCATTTCTTTTTTCATTTATATTCAGGAAATAGTGAAAAGATTATCACCAGAAGGCTTGAAAAGTCAAACATTAGAATTTGAGATGGATAAGGGTCCAGCTTTCATACTGTTTCATCTGGAAAATCCACTATTTAATATTGAACATGGTCTAAGAGTGGTGAGAGACGGGTTAGTTAGCAATAATGAGTTGAAGAAATTTAAATTGTTTAATTCAGCTCTGATTTTTAAAAAACAGTAATTACAATTAATATGTTATCCACATTCGTTTCTATTTATTAAATTAATATTTTTAATTTGTACATATGTAAGCATTTGATTGCCTTTGTACCTTGAACTCAGTTGTTTGTAAGCATTAGTGAAAACATACATTATTATTGGAGATTATAGTTACGGTTTTTCATTGTTCTACTCATAATTTATTTTATTTAAATTTTTTAAACATTTTCCTCAATAGATCCGATGCCAATGTAATTAGTGATAATAGAAATCTTATTGATTCTAACAAAGACGTATAATCTTACTCAGCTGAAAGTCATCCTAATAACATTTACTAGTATTTTTACATAAATAGATGACTAAGCATTTGTAAGTTGTAGTATTTCGCTTCAGCTGTGTTTAAAAAACAAATTTGTGTTCCTTCCTTTCCAGTTGAAGGATGTTGTCCTAACGTACAGACAATGTATGCTTGAGACACCTTTCCATGGTATTCGTTCCGTCTGGACCAAAATTATTGCAAGAGACATCAAACGCTACCATTCCCTGACATATATGTGTGACCAGCTGAAACATGTTCACCGGCCTAATGAGCGATCCTGTTGTATATCAGCTGTCATCAAACACTTGGATGTAAATATTTTTTCCTTAAATAATGAACTATTTATTTTATATTATTTCATTTGTATCGCACAAAGTCTCTTTGGTTGTTAAAATATTAATATTTTAAAAACTTAGGATTCGCACTGTGTTGATTGGTAGTTTTGTTAATAATTTAGCATTAAGAAAAGATATTTACAGAATAGATGCTAAATCATTTATCACAAAGTGAGTTAAAATCATTTCTAAAATTATTAATTGTATGCAGAATTGAATCTGTAATCTTGTCATAATTTATTATTGGCAATAATCTTTTATTAAGTTTTAGGTATATTTTAAAATAGTGATATCACTGATTTGGAGCATTTTGTCTTCTTGGTGATTTGTTCGTTAACACATTTCATTCTGATTTGAACTGTGCATATCCTGAAAATCTTTATTATCTGCTTTATTTTTTCCAAACAGGTGAATGGGAAAGTTTTCAATATCTGCTATCATAGTTTAGGTACAAGTAATTGTAACTTACTTTTAAAACATTTTCCTGTTGCCCTAAAACATGTAGGATCGTTCAGCTCAAGTTGCAGGCATATCCTACTTAGCTACATTTTTGCAGCGCAGCTCAGTATCTGCTGCCAACAAGAGGAAGAGTCACTCAGTGCATCAGCTAACTGGGTCAAACCACCATCCAATGAGAAATGGGTACTCAATATAAGCAATGACGACCATACTGTTTACTTTGTCAAAGAGAATGTCAGCGCAGATTCTGAAATGCGACATTCAAATGACAGGTTTGTTCGGGATCATCTGGAACATCTACCCAGGAGACTGTGTGATAGGCTATTGCTGGAAAAGCAGCAGGGGGTAAAGTCATCGTCCCATGATGTAGATTTGGAGTTTAGTGATTCCATTAGTCTTGAAGACAGAACAAAGCAGCTAACCCAAGTTGGATGCACTAGTAATAAAACATTGAATTTTTATACAATGGATTCTAAGAATCGTTGGATGTTTTCTGATGCTCTGGGAATAGAGCCATCGGCTGCCATAAATGGACCTACAGCTGTTTTATTTGATAAAGAGGTAAGGGGAATGCTTCCTATAATTTAATTTAAGCTTTTATATTTAACAAAAAAGGTTGATACAGCATCATGTTAAAGTTAAGTTGCAGACTGTAAGTTTTTGTAATCCATTTTGTTAATATTTTTTATTATGACCCAAGGATTTAAAAAAAAAAAAATACAAATCCATATCATTGCTTTTTTTCTACCTATTTCTTATATCTTGACTTTATAAGATTCCCTTTGTATTATTTTCAGAATGAAGAACACTATATAATGAAAGAAAACTTTACTTACAGCAATACCAGTAAGTGCTTGTTTGAAAGTGAATTACGTAATTAATTTTTACTTATTTAGGGAATGTTCTTATGACCCAAGGTTTGATAGGAGATTTTGGCAAGTTTTCATCTAAATTCATTAGTGTTTATTCAACAGTGTCTTTCATCATTGACTTTGAACATGGTCGGTTGAAGCGCCATCTACAGTCTCATAGCTTCCGGCAGAATGATTATGCTGCTCCGGGCCATGTTAATGTTAAGGAATTAGACTCACAGACTTTTCTAGATGTTGTCAAGCCATATAATAAAGTATGTGTATATATATAATTTAATAATAAAGTATGTGTACATATATGATTTGATAATAAAGTATGTGTATATTTATAATTTGATAATAAAGTACCTGTATGTGTATAACATAATTTGATAAAGTATGTGTATATATATATAATTTTAATTGGAAAAATAAATATAAACATTTCATTTAACTGCAAAAACAAATTTATTTATTTGATCTTTTCTATGAACTTTAATTGATATTTAATTTTAACTTGGGGAAACCAGTTATCCCCTTGTTTACAATTAGAAGCAATAATTGAACTAATTAATCTGCAATGCCATCAATTATGATTACCTTCATTTATAAGGTATGTGAGTTTAGCCAGAATTTTATCTATTGTTTTGTGGTCAAATAGAGGAGAGCTTTAATATTTTGAATTGTCTTCTAATTTTAACATAAAATATTGACTCATTTCCTTTATTTTCCAGGATATTGTTGTTTTAATCTATGCACACTGGTGTGGGTTTTGCCAGACCCTGAGTCACACATTCCTGTCTCTTGCTCAGTATTTTTCCACATCACCTCATATTGTTTTTTCCAGGTAAGCTGCTTATATAAGGGTTGGTTTTTCGTTTTAAAATAACCTAGAGTAATCATTTTCTTAAGTTTGAGACAGTAATTTATTAAAACAATTTAATTTTTATTACATTGGCAATAAGCTTATGCAAACTCTGTTAATGCACTGTTTATCTTTTCCATGCATTATAATTGGAAGGGGCAAGAACTTTGACATGCTTATCAAAAACTCCCAGCTTGGAAACAGCTGGTTTCTATAAAAACATTTAAATGGAAGTTATGCTGTTATAGTGTTATAAGTAACTACTTCATAATTTTCGAGACCAAACTAACCAAGTTCAGATGATATTTAAATAATAGCAGTCATGTACTTGGACCTCACTATTTCTACTGCTTATATCAGAATCAGCAGCAGCAATTACCCTTTTAATTGATATGACTATATAAACAATAAATTACAGAATCAATGGTGCAACCAATGATCTTCCGTGGGAGTATACATTTGATTCCTACCCCACTGTCATATTTTTTCCTGCCAGACAGTAAGTTTTTGACCCATCTTATGTATAACATTGGTTTCTGTTCACAAGTTCTTTTGGGGTTTTGTTTGTGTGCCAGTTAGTAAGAGCATGATGTTGGGTAGTTTTGGTTGCTAGTTAAATTGATTTGTATTTCACAAGGGATCATGCTTCATTATTATTTATTTTCTTTTACTACTTTGGCTTTGATTTAACCTGTGTGTTTGGATGAAGATGGCACCATTATATGTTTCATTAAATGCATAACTGTTTAAAATATAACAAGTAACCAGCATCCTTGCAATGTCTCCCCCCTCCCCCTCCTTATTTACCTACCTTATCCCAATAGTTTCACAGTTTCCTTTCTATTGATGGTGGTAGAATTGTTTCTTAGATCCGTTTATTCAAATAAAAAATAAATTTGATACATGAAAAAAAAAAAATTTATGATTTATATTTTATACAAGAAAGAAATAACTTCAGCCATCTATATAATTGAAATCAAATAGTAAAGTCATCATTTTTTAAATTAAAATTTATAATTCTATATAATATATAATCATCCTTAACATGACCAACAATTATTTTATAAGTGCATCTATGCAAGTAGTATAAATCCAGTCCCTTCTTGAAGTTTGCTTCCCTTTTTTTAGTTCTGTAACACTTTTATATTTCTGTTGACTTTTTTTCTTACCTTGACTTCCATGGTACTTAGTGAACCCAATGATTTGTTTATTTGGAAAAGAAAAAGGTAAGGGTTCGTATATCTCCTTGTAGCTTTTAATGCACAGATCGTGTTGAAACCTGTTTCATATCCCTTTCTAAATTATTATTTTTTTTTAATAAAGAAAGGATAAATACAGACCTGGTTACTCTAATGATTTTGTTGTACATTGTACAATATTGAGATGTCTTTTACTATTGTGCGCTGAACCTGTCACAATTATGACCTGTTTGAAACAATATATTCCTGCAGTTTTTATGAAAAAATCTACCAAAAAACATTTTTGGTTGTTAGTTTTAGCTCCTTTCAAATATCGGTTAATGGGCAAATATGATGGGTTGGAGACCATCTGATAGGAGAGGGGGAGGGTTCACTTATGAACGTAAGGTTGTGTATGTGAGGGGTAGATGGAAGGTATCTAATAAATATTTTTAATGGCTATAAAATAACACAGCCATGATTTGTAATGGTGATTACAATTAGTCAACAGTAATACTTGCATAGTCGCCCTAGTTTCAAATTAAGTCAATATTAGCTTTTTTGTTTTTGTGCTTCATGGCGGTATATTTTAATTTTGTGACATAATTATTTTCCTCTGACTGAAATGCAGTGATTGCAAAAAGGGAGAAAATTACAGTTTAAAAAAAAAAAAAGGAATTCTCCAATGCTCTGTAGGCAGCATAGATTTTGACTTATTTCAAAAGAACTAGTAAGTGGCCTTGGAAATCTATTTTTAGAAAACAGCTATGCAAGTTTAATATGTCATTTTACTTCCAGCACTCCTCTTCCCATCTCCTAATACAGCTCGTGGTAGTTTTTAGTCTAATATGTTAACAGATATAAAATCAGGCTTCTAGGCTTAATGCAGGGGTGCCAAAACCTTGGCATATCACAGTAAATATTGTGGCCTACAGGATGTATTACAAATGGACTTATTTCTTAATTCATTTAGCAATTCTTTTTATTCTTGGCATCAACACACATTTGAAATATAATTTATATAATTCAAAGTTTTGTTACAATATGCATAATTTTTTTGGGAAGATTTAAAAATAATAGATTGAAATAAGTAATCTCGAATCTGAAATAAAAATTATAAAACAATTTTACTGTTAGTAACTAATAATATGAAAGTATTTATATAAACACAGCTAGCTAATTTTCCCACTAGCATTCCAATGGGGTAAAAATAATGCAAATTATATTAAGTGATACGCATAAGTGAATCCCTGCATTTTGATTTTATAAAAAAGAAATTTGCCCTCCCCAAACCCCACTTTTGCTCAGGTGACTTAGGCTACCGTCCTCTGCCTCTCCCAGCCATTTCAATCTATCAAACTGGCAAAGACGGGCACCTGTTTAGTTGCAATAAAGCAATGTGTATATTTATATATATATATATATATATATATAAAAGAAACAGTCATCTACTTTGGGATGTGACTTCATTAGACATAGGATGTAAATAGTTATTGTATACATTATTCTGTATGTTTATTCACTAGTAAGATATGGAATTGTATGATTTTGAGATGGTAAATAACTTTTCTGACAAAATATTGTACTATTTTGGAAGTTCCAGGGTAACCAGGTCTGTAAATGTATGAATTTAAATTACAATCTTAAGTAAATAATGTTGTACAATGATATGCTATTTATAGAATTAAATATAGTCTTAAAAGCTTAACAAAAGTATAAATTAAAAAAAAAAAATTAAAACTTAAAAAAAGGAATCATAAAACCTAAAAAAAGGAAATCATGAAGAATTTAATATATTCTATTACAAATGTTCAATGTTATTGACATTTTCGGTTCGGCTTTCAATAAAACCTTAATTTGTTACTCCAAAACATTTTAAATGGCTACTTATCTTAAGGTGTGAGCAATTTATGTAGATAAAACAATTTTTAGCTTCTTTTATATTTTTAGTTTTGTGCTTTTTCACAGCCTAACATCTTTTTGTTAGTAATTTTCTCAAATAGTACTAATCCTTTCATATTTATACGTGTGTATGTATTCAGAAATTTTGACAGTCTCATGACACAATGTTATATCAGTTTAGATTAAAATTTAAATGATACAAATTTTAAAATAAACGTTTTTTATAAATTGGAAGTAAAAGAAAACAACAATTATAATTTATTTGCACAGTAGAATATCAGGGGCTCTAAAACTCAAACAATTATAGACTGCATGAGTAGAGTTCGATTCTCCATGGTGTTATTCGTCCATCAACATCGACTAGGACCATCCAGTCATCCGGTTAGGGGGGAGGGTGGGTTATGGTGAGTTTGTAGGTGGCTTGCTTGTCTGATCCATGCTCAGAATAATCTCTGGCACTGTGGGCAGGGCTAGCCTGCATGTCTCAGCTGTGACTATCCTACTGGCTTCATGATATTTAGCCCCTTTCTTGACAGCTGATCACCACTTGGCCCTGTCCTGGTCTGTCAGCACCCATTCAGTAGGGTTGATGCTGAAGGCCTTTAGTGCCGCTTTCAGTGAGTCTTTGTAACACTTATTTTTAACTTCCTTGGGAGCGCTTGTCTGTCGTGAGTTCTCCGAAGAATATCTGTTTAGGGGAATACACACCTAAAAACATTATTATTAAGCATTGTCTCTTATTATTTTGTGGGTTAAGGGAAGTTTAGTACTGATTAGTGTCATTATATTCTTTTCTACTTCTACTCATATGCTTATTCATATAAAAGATTTTCTCCCCACTTGCTCTATTTGTCATCCACACATTTTGTATGCACTAATTTCTTTTTTTAATATTTCCTGTTCAATGCTGTGCATTTATATTAAATAATAAAAACTTTGACAACAGCAAAGTACACATTTTATTGTAAAAACCTTCCAGGAGATCAGTAAAAACTTTATTTTAATTTTTTGTTAGGCATGTGTATGTTTTCTTCTTTTAATCGCCCCGGAAAAACGTTTACCTTCAAATGTATGGAAACTAATTCTTCAGTTTAAAAATTTAAAATAATAAAAATACATATTTTATACTTTTTCATTAAAATACACTTAATTTCATCAATAAATTTTAATAGCTTTTAGTTTTAACTATGATTGAAAAAAACACCAGTATAAAATTTTTTTTTTATAAGTCATTGCCAGTATAAATGTGATTATTTTTTTGGCTCTCAGCTGAACGATTTTCAATGTAACTGATTAAGAAACTCACTAAGTTCATTGGCCAGAATCTTTATGAAAACTTAGAAACCTTGTTTGTTGTGATTTGACACCAGAGAGGTAAAAATCTGATGATTGTCTTAATTCTGGTTTTATGAGCAATTTTCTTTGTAGACTACTCCCTACATGTATTTAGAATAGGGTGACCAAACATCCTGTAAAAATGGGATTGTCCCGTTATTTCACGATCGTACCTGGTGTCCCGAAAAAGTATCTCGGAACGCCTAAATGTCAGTTTCTCAAACCAAACACATTTTCAAACACTAAAACTTCCTAATTTATAATATAACTTCAAGCAATACTTTTGCTAGCTGTGTATCCAGTGCAGTAGTGATGTGTGCTCGCGTGATGACTACACTGTTCCCCCTGCACCACTCTGCTGACACTGCAAAATTATTGTTTTTGTTTATGATATGCCTCAGAGTTAAAATTAAATGTAAAAAGTGATGGTAAATTTAAAAAGATTTCAAAGTTTCAAAATAGTTAAAATGAGCATATTTTAAAAAAACAGTTTCCGGCGGAGGCCCCCAGACCCCTCTTAAGCTGGAGGCAGAGGTGTAGTGAAAGTGTTTGGCACCCTGGGATAACATTCGCGCCCAGGGACAAGATTCATTTTAAAGCGCCCCCCTTTTCTCTTTTTAAATTCTCAAACCCATTATTTTCATCAATAAAATAATGTCAAAGCACATTTTGGTGCCCCTAACTAGCTGGCGCCTGCCTCCCTTAGCCACGCCTCTGTTTGGAGGGTATCCCCTCAAACCCTCATTGGGTGTGTCCCATTTTTTTCAATTCATGATTTGGTCACCCCAATTTAAAAGCAAAATCTCCTAATTCGACCACCCCCTCAGTGTGTGTATAATATTTGGATGATCCCCTGCCCCCCTCTATATAATTTACTGTCTTTGCTAACTAACAATCACCCACAACTTGATATCCTAGAGAAAAAAAATTAATTATCGATCACTTTTTATTGGTCTTTGTCACAATTTATTACTCCAAAAAGAAAAAAAAATTGGTTAATGGGACACATATTAGGATAAAGTTTTTTTTACTAGTTTAAATATAGAAAGCTATTCAAAAGTGTAATAGGGGGAGGTGTGCTTTCAGGTTGATGCAATATGAAATATAACAAGTTTTGTCATCTTTCAGGTTTTCCCCTTCTCTGCATGCTATATTTCATAAAGTTGTTTAAAAACAGAATTTTCTAAAAAATTTGTTACATCAAACCTTTCGATTAAAAATACATAATCTGGCCAAAACTAAGTTCATAAATTAATAGTAAAAGAACATAATAGGTAGATATTGCTCTTTATTAAGGTGATAGATTCACAATTCAAAAACACAGCTGATGAAAAGTGTAGTTATTTAAATGAAAACGAAAAAAAAATTATTGGTTTATCGAATGATATATATTATTCACTTCTTAATTTTAGTAGAGTTTATACATAATTTGTAAACTTAGCTTTTAACCTCTTTCAGAGTCTTCATTAGGTGTGCTCCAGTAAGTGCTAAGTAGCGCTGACTATTTGAATTTTTATTGTAACTGAATAGCATTCAATTTGAACTCACTTAAATCTTGTATTCTTCACATTTAGAGAGATTCATTCCACTATTCTCTTTTTTTTTCTTGAAGCTGAAAAATAATAGACTATATGTTAGAATTTCAGCTTTGTAAATGTTACATATAAATTTATTTACCTCATTATGTGCCTTAACTTTCTTTTTCAAATAATTTCTTGTCACACCTAATTTATGGAAATTATTGCAGTTAGTTTCTATTTACCATACATATTTAAGTGTTTGACTGGGACTTAGAATCACTATATACTTATATATATTTGGCTTTAAATATTTGTCTACTCTGCTGACATATCTTCTTTTACTGTAAGATTGATTTTTATTATTTATTTATTTTTTGTTACAAAATTTGAAAATTACTTCTGATCTATTTTTGCATTTTCTTCTTAATTACTTTTTCTGAATAACTGTTAAAAGTTAGAACTAATGTACATTATTCAGTAAATATAAAATTAGCATCAGCAAGCACATATCAGTTTTTTGCAATTACCCATATACATAACATTTCATAGATTCAATATTGCATTTCATATCATTTCAGGAAGTCTGATAGCATATTGTTTCCCAAAGAAAAGGAGAAATCTTTGACCAATCTTGTGAGGTTTGTGCTTCACCATGCCACACATGACACAAAGCTCCACTTGGCTGCAGATGTATGCTCCACTTCCTGCATCAAGAGCAACATTCAGAGGTGTACCTCACTTCTGCAGGAGCTGAGGCTAAGGCAAGCGAGGCTTCAGAGGAGACTTAGCGCTGCCATTAGTTCTAACAGGGGTGACAATTATTTTAACAAGTTAGGTTCTGACTATATAGTTTCTCAGCTGCAGTCAGTGAGGACACAGGTGTTGACAGTGGAAAAACTTAGGGCATTCTTGGAGCAACAAGGGGAAAGCATTAACAAGCAGGAACTGTTTGAGTTGTTTTCAGTGGCAAAAAATTCTTTTGTATGAAATTATTATTGTCTTTAATTAATGATAATATTTGCTTTTAAATTTTAGGTCAGCCTTTTTTGACATAAATCATCTCAGTAAGTTAGAAATGCACCAAGTAAAAGGATTTATTTAAATCATCATCACATCCAAATAGCAGAGAATGTTGTGATTTACTGATAAATTACAATATTTTAAGATTTATATGTGTTAATAACAGTTTTAATAATTTGCCAAACATCATTTGGACTGGACACATCTTAGTATTATCAATTAATGACTCAGTATAGAAGATTTCTTTAAATGATGAATTGTTTTTTCATGAGTGTTTTAGAATAATACAAGTGCCTGAGTAAGCCCTGAAATTCTCAAATTTTTCTTAAACTAAGCTTAAAGTCAATTGCTATTCGGTTACTGAGCTCACACAATTTTTTTTTTTTAGGATCTGGTAGTTGTCATCCACATGAAAAAGGAAACATTCCATTCCTTTTTTTATAGTTTGGTGAATTTTATATCTAATTTCTGTGAATAACTATTCTTGTACACTTATTTAAAGATTTGGTTCACTGGACGTTAAGCATTTATTAAATCCTCTTGTCTCCCCCCCCCCCCTTCCTTTTCAAGACATATTCTTGATTAATGTGTGTGTGCAGCTGTTGAAGTTATCTTGACCTCATGGTATCAGATCACATTCTTCTTAGAGCTGATCAATGTTTTTTTTTGTCCTTGTAAGGCTGAATGTATTTTTTACAACACCATCGTAAGGCTACCAAGGAAAAAATAAATATAGGAATTTGGGGGGGGGGGGGTATATTTTTTTGCTTTCTTCCTTTTTAGCATGTAATTAATTATTTTTTTTATAGCCGCCATATGATATAAATAAAGATTCTGATTTCAATACCAAAGAAAAAATAAATTTTGGAATTTGGGGGGGGGGGGGGTATATTTTTCTGCTTTCTTCCTTCTTAGCATGTAATTAATTATTTTTTTTATAGCAGCCATATGATATAAATCAAGATTCTGATTTCAAATTTCAGTGGCCTCTTCCTGCAACTTGACTTGAAATGGTACATTTACGTTAGTTACAAATAGGTTGAGATTTTAACTGATCACAAAATAAATTGTTTATAAGACACTGACACACTCTGTTAAAATGGTTGCTGAATTTGTTTAGTGTTGTGATATGTCCCTGTTCCCACTCAGAAATCCCTGTGACTTAATGCTCTCTCTCAGGGCTGCCTGCTCAACCTCCAACTCATTCAATGGAAGCTGGGCAACCTCTGTCATAATTTCTGCACTGAGACTCAGGCATTGCATTCTTTCATGTCATTCATTTCTCCTGTTGCTTGTTATTTATTGTAACTGTAAGTCAAACATTTTTAGTCAACAGGGCTGTGTTAATGTTTATGTTGTTTTTTTTTGTTGTTTTTTAAACATTGTTTTGGTTCCATAATCAGGTGCATGTACATTGAAATTGATTAGAAAAAATCAAGTAAAATTGATAGAATTCTATCAATTTTTGCAAAATCTTATTACCTTTTCATGTTCACTACTAAAAAAATTATATGTAAATTTGATTTTTCCTAACCCTGTTGTGTTTTCAATACAGTAATGACTCAGTTGTTTGTTTACATATTTTCCCATTGTTATTGCCCAGTTTATTAGTTAACTTACAAACTTATTGTCAATGTGTATTGTGTACAAATTGATTATCATTATCCCTTGTATGCTGATTTCCAGTACAGACAATGTGATGAATGTCAAATGTTATAATAATTACACTGGTATGTTTCTCAGCTTTAAAATGTATTTTTAGGAATTGCTGAAAACTTTAATTTTATGTTCTTGTCATTCATTTTATGGTACAATGTTGAATGTTTTTATTATTCTGCCATCAAGTGCCAGAAAAATGCTGTCATATTGTACAACATTTAATTCCAATAAATGCCAGTTATGTAAACCTATCTGTGAAAATTTTCTTCAAATTTTTTGTTTGATCATTATTATTTAATTAAAATTAACCCATCGCTATCATCATCCAATCCATTTTTTTAAAAATTGATGCTTACTACCATGGATTGTTTTAACGAATTGCTGAGTGTTTTATTTTCATGAGTTTTGGCTAATTGTTTACCATAACCAAAGATTTATAACTTCATGCAATAGGGTGTAGCATTTGGCAAGCTAAGAGTTGTATGCCATCTACAGGGTTTACAAACCATGTCCCATGTTTGGTACATATCACTTGAATTTTTGTTTTACTTCCAGTCCTTTTTGTTTAAGTTATCATTTGGAAATTGTGAAGGAAAGGAAGACATTTTTTTTTTGTAGCAATCACCCTGGGTATTCCATTTAATTTTAAGATTAAGATATCAATAGAAAGAAACCATTCTAATTATAACTACTGATATTTAATTTTGGCATGTTTATACTTCATTATATAATATTTTATGTATTTATAAAAATATTAATTACAAATTCTGCAACTGCTTTGCAAATTAAATTCTACAGTTCAGGTTGAATCATAATATTTAACATGCTTAAACATTTTTTTGCTAACAATTTAGTGAATAAAAAAAACTGGAAAAATGGACAGCAAAATAAAAAAGAATATGATTAATCAAAGATCTATTTCCTGAACATACAGGTTATTATGTCAATCATTAAGGAATTTAATAATGTTCATTATGTCAATCATTAAGGAATTTAATAATGTTCATTATGTCAATCATTAAGGAATTTAATACTTTTCATTATGTCAATCATTAAGGAATTTAATACATTTATTATGGCAATCATTAAAGAATTTAATACTGTTCATTATGTCAATCATTAAGGAATTTAATACTAATCATTAAGGAATTTAATACATTTATTATGGCAATCATTAAAGAATTTAATACAGTTTATTATGTCAATCATTTAAGAATTTAATACAGTTTATTGTGTCGATCATTAAGAAATTTCAATTGTGTTTATTGACCACTCTAGTCTAATTCATCAAGTCATTTTGTTTTAAAATGAGTTGATCATTTACTTTTCCTGTTGATCTTCTTGCTTTAACCTAAGTAATATTGAGTTAATTGCATTTCTACTCCCTATTCCTGTAACCACCATGAACTATCTTTTTAATGTGTGTTTAGAAGACCGTAGTTATTATAGTTCAGTATAAACTTGAATATCTAGAGATTGGTATTGCTATTATTATCCAGATGTTCAGTTGTCTGGACTTGTATAATGTACAATACTTTGCCTCACAAGGATAGGAAGCATCGTAATGACAGCCTTTTGTGTCAGATCTAAGTCAAGAACATTGCACTAATCACAACATGAAATTTTGACATTTGGAGACAAAGGTAAAAGCTTTCAAAAAAAAAAAAAAATGATTTTCATTCAAATTGTCCATATTCATAAACAAACTAAATTATATTTCAAATAGTAAATCATCTGGATTTTTTCATAATATTAACTTCAACTGGTCGTAGCTGGATCAGATAATCAAATTTCTACTTTGAATTTGCACATCTAAGTAGAGTTGTGGGCCCTGTTGTGTAATCATTTCAACTATGCAAAGTTGGGGGGGGGGGCACAGCTGATGATTTTGTAAATAAATAAGACTAACTTTATTTAAGTGGTAATGTTAGTCAAACATTAAGTTTAAGTTTTCTTGAAATATTTGTTTTCAACTGTCCAATCATTTGGGCCCTGTTGTGTAATCATTTCAACTATGCAAAGTTGGGGGGGGGGGGGCACAGCTGATGATTTTGTAAATAAATAAGACTAACTTTATTTAAGTGGTAATGTTAGTCAAACATTAAGTTTAAGTTTTCATGAAATATTTGTTTTCAAATGTCCAATCATTCATGCCGTTTATGTTATCCTTATCCATTGTTCAGCTCATTGTTATTAACATGTTAAATTCGGGGACAGAATTTCGCCTTAAGTTCTATTATTTTATTGTATGTCTTTGATAAAAAAGAAATGCCAGCAATCCCATGAACATAGGTTAGGTAACCGGTACACCTTTATATAAAAAAAAAAGGCCAGTATAATCCTTGAGTCCCCATGTCTAAAAGTCATTTTGTTATTCATTTATATTTATTAGTACCCGGTATTAGAATGTGGAAAGCTCTGATTGCAACTCCTGTCTCAACCTTCATCCAGAATTAGATGCCTGGCACTTCAACTCTCCTAGGCTCTTAATTTAAATTATTATGTAATTGAAAGGATAAGCCTGACCTAATTTCTCCTCCGGGTTTTCCCTTCAATTGTGTGTGGGAGATGAACTATGAAATGTAAAGTTTTGAAATCTGATAACTTTGAAAATTTAAGCCCATACTGGCAAGAGTTTACCTGAGATAAGCAATATCTAATTTCATAAATGTCAAGCACCTTGTCTTTAACAGGTGTCATCATGATAATGTGTGTATTTCCTTGGATTGATATGTTTGAAGAAAAAAAAATGTGTTACCTGGGTTTCGTACCTTTAAGTTTTGACTGAAAAGAAATATGTAAGCCGTGAGTTTCAATTATCATTTTTTGCCCCCATCTCATATTCAAGGATCCCCCATCAACCTGACCAGAGCATGGATTCCTGTGTGGGTCGTTTGACCAACAAGATTTTAAAATTACCTTTACAGAATTTTTTTTTAAATATATTTTTTTTCATTTAAGCTTACTATTTGATTAAGTCTCTGTATCATGTAGCTTTATTTATACATTGTTATGGAAAAAAAAATCATTTTATTATTGATGATTCAGCAGTCTGATGAAAGGAGAGGGGGGGGGGGAACAAAGAAGAAGGTTTGAGAAACATTGTCAAGAGTGACAGTGTCTCAAACTCTAAGAAATGTTGCATTGTCTTCCCCTTGTTGTTGTTTTATTACTCATGTTCCCTGTAGCATTTAACATAATTTAAAAGAGCATTACAATGATTACTAGAAATGAAGTGGGACTGAATGAGATAGAAAGCAGTGTGTGTTTCAAAAGTTCTTCTTTTTTTTAATATAAATCATTCTCTGAGCCTAGTACATATGTGCAGATATCTATTTTGATTCAGTTTCCAAGTCTTGAAAAAAAGCAGTTACATCCCTTGTTGACTTTGCCTCTTTTAAAAAAAAAAATGGTGTGGGTGTTTGTGTGCTTTTTTTTTTTTAGATTGGAAGGGC